TGAGGTGGGCCCCCCTGCAGTGCTCTCCCTCCCTGTGCGGCCGCACCCCTGCCAGGGGCCAGCATGCCGGTGATGGAGCCATCCAGAGGCCACACAAGTGACAGGGCTGGGGACAGGGACTGCACCCCTGCCTGCTGCCGTTTTCCTCACTGCAAAGCCCTCGGGAGGTGGCTGGGCCCAGCGTGAGCTCAGGGCCCTCCGGGAGCTGGGGGCGGGGGTGGGGTGGGCACTCACAGGTGGCGTGAGCTTTGTAGAGGCCCGGAGGCCCTGGCAGGGAAAGTGAGGGAGGCCCAAGATGGGACAGAACCCCCCGCTCCGAGGGTGGGCACCCTTCCTGGCCAGAGACTTAATACCACCCCCCAGCCCCACTCCCTCCCAATCCCTGGGCAGCCTGCTCTGTCCTCCATAGGTGAACCTGATCCCATATATTACGATAAACTGCATTTGCCGCTCCCCATAACCCCCGCCCTCCCCCACCCTCGGCCAACAGCCCCCCACTTCCCCATCCTCTGGTAGTGGCAGGTGCCCCTCCTCAAGCAGTGCCATGTCCTGTCAGCAACCAGCCGTCCTGGCGCTGGCCCCAGGGCCCAGGGGATGCAGAGGGCAAGGCAGCGCTGCTACTCCAGGTAGATATCTTCTGTGGGGCAGGTGTACTCCACGAACTGCTTGTAGAACTGCTGGAACGCTCTCCTAGGAGGCAGGCAGACACACCAGAATGACTGGGGAGGAACAGGATCTCGACCCAGGGTTTTCACACTGGAGCCTCGGGGTACCCGGATGGGGCTGCGCCTCCCCCAGCCAGAGCTGCTCAGCTCTGTTCTTTGCACACAGTGTTTCCTGAGTGAGATTTCAACTGAAGGAAGGGCCCAGCAACCAAGAAGTTTGGACCTCAAGACCACCCAGCCCTCTCTTCAGGCCTCTGTGACCCAAGGACGCCACGCCGACCGAGTGCCGGGGAGGACTGAGGGATGCTGCCAAGCATGAGGAACGTGCTCGGGGCCTGAGACCTGGGCTGGCTACAGGGCTGGGTGCTTGGCAGGACACACACACATACCCCACGGATTCTGCCAGGGCTTTGGTGGATTCTTCAGACACAAAGACATGGCAGGCAAACCGGTGGTCGGCAGGGTGCTTGGTGATGAACCCAAAATACCTGTGGGAGGACAACAGTCTGTCTGGGCGGGACGGGGGCTCAGAACCCTCAGGCACACGCGTGGACCCACGCCCTGAACCACCACCCACGCCTTGACCTCTTCCCCGTCGTGTTCTTACTTGTTGTTCTTTGGATGGTATCCGCAGAAAGAGATGTTTTTTAACTGGAAAAAGTGGCTACATTTATTCCCCTACAGGAGGGAGGAGAGAAGAGGGTGGTCATCAGCCTGCAGGGGCACAGGTTGGAGGTCTGACGGGAGAGCGGGGCCAGGCCGGGGCAGTCACCTTGGCCTCCTGGGAGTCGTCAGCCTTGACGCCGATCTTCACGCCCCGCACGCTGATCTCTAGGACGCAGCTGGAGGGCGGGTTAAAGTGCACGGTGAGCCGGCGGGTGGTGGCAATCTGTGGGTGAGGGATGGGAACATGAGGTGCTGGGTGGCCCTCTCCCCAGGAGAGGATGGGGACCGGGCCGGGGGTGGGCACCCTAACCAGCGGAGCAGGTACCTTTTGCATAGCGGCACAAAGGACGTCGTTGCCCTTGTGATAGGGAACCTGGACTGAGCCCAGGAACTTCACCCGGAACTGGTCCACCCAGTCGCTGTTTTTGGTCAGGGCTGGAAAGCAAGCGTGGAGCGAGGGGTGGCAGACCCAGCAGAGGATGCACCACCCAGGGCTGCCCCGACTTGGCTGGGCCTCACTTTCCTCGATTGTGAAGTGGACCTGAAGTCACTGCTGCCCGGCCCCCCTCCCTGGGTGGTTGAGATCTGAAGCACAGGTCCGCCCGGCAGCAAATGGGGGCAAGGCAGATGGGGGGCCCAGTGGCACCAGGTGGGGGGAAGGAACACTACCTGCCATATGTTCAGGCTCCTTGGTGACCTCGATGGCGTAGTAGGCAGGAAAGATGCCCCGGGCACCCGTGCGCATGTTGTAGGCCTCATACCAGTAGTCCTCAGCCTGCAACTCCACCAGCAGAGGGTCATCCACTTCCAGCTCAAGTTCGTCTTCATGTCGAGGCACAAACCTGTCCCCAACAAGGGCCTGTGAGGAATTCACCACCCAGGCCCCTCCAGCCAGCCATCTACTCCGCACCCTGAGGTCAGGGGGTTGCGTCGGCATCACTGGTTCAATAAATGTTTGCACAGCGTCCCATGTGCCTGTCACTCCCCGGGGGTGGGGGTGGGGGTGGGGGGGAGGCCAAGGTCAATCAGACATGCATCTGCCATGGAGGAACTTGCAGCCCAGGGAGCAAGTGACCAGGGCCACTGATAAACTGTGAGAGGTCACAGGAAGCGAGTATTTCCACATGGAGGAGGGTGATGGGTAGTGGGTTTTGTGTGTGGTCAGGTGTCTCTGTTGGGCACCCTCCTGGGCCCCTGCCCCGGCCAGATTAGGTGCTCAGTCCTGGGCTCTGGGCAGCACAACACGTTGCTCCGAAATCATCCACTCCGTCCCTGATCTCCGAGTTCCTAGAGGGTGGACACTCCACCTGGGGCTGCGTAGTGGGGTTGGGTCTAGGCCAGGGGGTGACGGCAGAGGCAGGGAGGGTTTGGCCCCAGCTGCTGCCTGGCCAGCCTGGCCCTGGGGCTCTTACCGGAATACGGCCCGGTGGCTCTGTTCCTGCTCCTCCCCATTGATGACGCAGGAGAAGAGCCCGAAGGACTCCGCACCTGTAGATGAGGTGGGCGGGCTAGGAGAGGGTGGTCCCAGCTCCGGTTGAGGCTCGCGGGGCAGGTAGAGCGCTCGGTCCTAACGCCTTGAACCAGATGGACCTGAGGCCACCTCCCGGGGACACCCTCACCCCGGTCCCCACACGGCTCCCTACTGCCGACTTACTGGAGGAGCGGGAGCGGCCACTCATGAAGACGTTCAGGAACTTCTTGGAGAAGTGGACATCGGGTTCATCGGGCGTGGAGTCCTCAGAGAGGCAGGTGGGGGGCCGAGGCCGGGGGGCCTCCTCGTACTCCTCCCCGATAGCCGACTCGTAGGGGGAGGAGGCAGAGGCGCAGTTGTCGTAGACGGTGGCTGAGTCGCTCTCGTCGCTGTAGTCGCCGAAGCATGGCCGCAGGCTCACCAGCTCCAGCTGTGCGTGCTCATCCACCACCAGCGTATACTTGACCGAGTCGTAGGACAGGGCGCTGGTGTCCGAGCTCAACGAGGCCCGTGGAGGCGGTGGCGGCTCGCCCAGGCTCCCCCGCCATCCTCCACCTGGCAGCTCGGCCCGCTCCGGGGACGACAAGCAGTCGAAGCCCTCGTCCTCCTCGCTGATGGAGGGGTGTGGCCGCCCTGCAGTTGCCGGGTAAGCCGCGGGGTCTGGGTCGGAGCTGACCGACATCCGGCTCTCAGCTGGCGGCAGGAAGGCGGAGTTGGGCTCTGCAGGGTCTGGGGGCCTCTGCACTGGTGTCAGGTAGATCTCCTCGGTGGCCTCCAGCCGCACGTCCGCCTGGTAGTGGATGCGGTCTCGATGCGAATGGCCCCGGCCAGCCGGTGGAGCAGCAGGGGGGCCACCGGGAGGTGCCATCTGGGTGGCAGCGCTTCGGCGGCAAGGGCTGTCGGTGGAGGTGCCTCGATCCTTGGTGGGGGCGGGGCTGCTTGGGGGCGGCAGCTCATCGCTCAGGCAGATGTGCTCATGTGGAGGTGTCTGCTCCCCTGGAGAGCAGGCAGGGCAGTGGTGAAAGCAGGTGCCTCGCCCCTGACTCCGAGATTACCTGCTCCCTCCACTCAGCACGCGGACACAGACACCAAGATAGAGCCTCCGGGGCAGTAGATCTACGGCAGGCTCTGAGGCCAGTCCTCTCACTCCAGCCACAGCCGACAGCGGCTGGGCCTGCTCAGACCTGTGGGACCGGCAGTTCACCTCTACCCAGCAGGCTGGAGACTGCTGGTTTGCTCTCTGCAGTGGGGACTGAGGGCACGTGGAGGTCCAGGTAAGGGAAAGGGTCACGACTTACCTGTCTTCAGTGGTGAGGATGATCTCGACACCCGATCCTGCCAACTGTGCTTCTTGCCCAGGGAATTATTATTCAGTGTGTCCTGTGCAGGGAACAAAAGGCCCTTGTGACAGCAGCGCTCAACAGTGCCCAGCACAGGGAGGCCCTGGCCCTGCCCCCATCAGGCCATCCCTAGGCCATTTGCTGCTCCCCCCACCCTTTAATACTTGCCAAGGGCCTCACCCCCCCAACCCTCTGGAGCAGGCGGAAGGGGTGGCAAGTCACAGCCCTCCCAGCCAGGGCTATTGGTGCGAGACAGACCACCCCCTTGGCTCAGGGAAGCTGGCTAACCCTCAGGGGGATGCTCTCATCAGCCTCAACAAAGGTGGTGATGGCCAGTGTGAATGGTGGTGAGTGGGGGCGGGGGCGGGGAGAAGCAAGAGCCATCCAGGGACAAAGCCAGACCCCCAGTCTCAGACATGGAGGGTTTACAAGGAAGATGCCCACTTCCAGCCCAACTCCCCTGGAGCTCAGGAAGCTATGGCCTAGGGAAGGGGCAGGGACATTCTAGGAGAGCCAGGAGGAAGGCTCTCCCCAGCAGCTCCCCTGGCTTGGGGGACTGGGATGAATCATACAAACGACGAATCCAGAACATGGTTTCCCCACCCCCCCAAGACCACGTGACAGAGGAGTGACAGATGTAGTTGTCAGAGGCCTCCTTCCTGGATCTCGGGGCCACCCACCCCACATTCTCAGCCCCCTGGGACCCCTCTCCACGATGCCTACGTACAAGGTCCCCTGCACACAACTTAGCCCCCTCCCCTGAGGACACCCTCACAGGCTCTCGCATGCATGAGTCTGGCTGCCAAAACCCACCCGAGAGGATCCTGGGAAAGGGACCAATCCTTTCCCTGCAGCCCCTGCACCCTCCACCAGCAGGCCCAGCTCCCTGAGCCGCTCCTCTGTACCTCTCCAGACTGGGCCTGGAAGACAATGGGCCCGGCCGGCTCTCCCCCACCCTATTCAACCCTCCTTGGCATCCAGCCACCCAGTCCAGGGGCCCTGGGCCCCCAACCCAGCCAAGCAGCTCCACCTCCCATTTCTCTTCCCTGCCTTCTGGGAATCCCCAGCTGCCCACATTTCAAACTGGCTGCTGGTCCCCATCCCCAGCTCTTCACAATTTCCCATGACTTTCCCCCGAACTGACCACTTCACATGCCTTTTTCTTCAGGCCCCGCTTCTGACCCACCTTCACCGGGAACCCCATACCCTTGCAGGCCCTCGAAGCCCTGTTCTCTTACTTCCCTACTTCTCTCTTCATCCGCATCCTTCCACTGCCCCTCTCAGCCCTTTCATTCCTTCAGCCTCTCCTCTCAAGGCTCCAAACCCAGCCAGCCCGGCTCGGCCCCTCTCACTTAAGACAAACTCTACCTGCCCTCAGCGACCACCTCCCCAGGGGCCTCCCCCGTGGGAAGTTACGGAAGGTGTCAGCAGGCCCGAGACTTCTAACTCCTCCGGACTGGCAAGTGACTCTTCCGCAGCCCCTCCTGCTCCCCGGCCAGTCCGGGCCTGGACCCTGAGACGGCCGGCGCTCCGAAGACCTCCCGGGGCCCTGCCCCAGGGCACCGCCCCCTAAGCCCCGCCCCCAAGCCGCTGGCTCCTCACCTGAGACCGCGGCACCTGCGGGAAGAGGTTGAGTGTGGTGGGCCGCTTGGGCCGGTACGTATCCCCGCCGCCCGGGCCCTGACCCTGGCCGCGGGGCGCCGTCTCCTGATGGGGCTCCGCCTCAGGCGGGTCCGCTCCCGGCCGCCGCGCCGCACGCTCCTCCTCGTCCTCCTCTTCGTCGTCCTCAGCGCCAGGAGTGTCCCCCGCCGCGTCGATCAGGTCCATCTGCAGCATCTCGGCCTGCAGCCGGCTCCCCGCGCCGCCGCCGCCGCCGCCGCCGCCGCCCCCAGACAGCAGCCCGGCGCGTGGGGGCTGCTGGGCGCGGACAGAGGGGCGTCAGGGGGCGGGGAAGGGGCGGGGCCAAGGCCGCCGCGCACCGCCCCCTACGCGGGCGAGTCCATTCCGCGGCCGCAAAGAGGGGGACAGAGGGAACGGAGCAGGAGCCCCGCGAGAGGACCGTGCCCTCCCGCGCCTTCGAGAATGCGCGAGGCCGCCTCCTCCCCACGTCAGGCGGAGCCTTTTGCAGTCCACACTTCTCCCCTCCCCACGGTCCCCCCTCCCCGACTCTTTGCACCCTCCCGTTCCCTTGGCAACGGCCAGTGACCTCACCCGGGTAGTAAGCCGAGCCCAGAGTGAGGTCACCGCTGTTGCCATGGGGACGCAGGGTCGCCGAGGAGTTCGGGCCCCACAAGGGATGGGGACGGGGTTTTGAAGGGGGCAGGGAGGAAAACTGAGGAAACAGTCTCAGCCAAGAGGGCCTCAGTGCGGACAGGAGGACCTGAGCGCGACTGGAAGAGGGATGCTGAGGGGCAGGAGCAAGTGGCAGGCACCTGGACGAGGCAGGTGCATCCCCACCTTCCTCGGTCCTCAGGCTGAGGCCCCTCCAACCTGAGGTTTTCTCTCAGGCCAGCCTAACTTTGAGAGCCCCGTTCTAGTTCCAGCTCTACCATTAACTCCCTGGCACCTTGGACAGATCCTCCGACTCTCCAACTCCCCCACCAGTTAACTGTCTCCCCGCTTCCCAGAGAGGTGAGGACTCACTGGCAAGAGTACTTGATGGCCCCCTGGAGCTTGTCTAAGGCCCCACAGGGTACGCCCCGAGCTAGTACTGCCTCAGGGTCCTGCTCGTTGCAAGGACCACCCTCTCCAAGGCTCTGCTTGTGCAAGTGGGAGTCGGAACACCCTCTCCAAGGCACTGCTTGTGCAAGTGGGAGTCGAGAATATATGTTAGTCCAGAATCAGTGGCCTCTGCCTCTAGCCCTTCCTGGCCTGGCCAGAGGGTGGCGGGTTGGAGTACAGGGTACTGAAGGGTTAGCCCCACCCCTTGGTTTCCTCTTGCCTGGCAGAACTTACAGAATCTCTGGGGGCAAAAGGAGATCAACATAGAGGCACCCCATCCCAGCTCACACGGCAGCTCTCCTTTGCTAACCATTCTCCCAACACCATGTCTACTTCGGCTACCCACCCTCCAGGGGGCTGAGAGAAGCTCTGGGCTCTGCAACCTAGCTCCGCACTTGCCTTCCGTCTCCTGGCTAGCGGCCCCTTCTTCCTGGGGGTGGGGGTGGGGTGGGAGGAAAGCCCAAGCGGGAGGGGATATAGGCATATATATAGCCGATTCACTTCATTTCACAGCAGAAACTAACACAACATTGTAAAGCAATCATACTCCAATTAAAAAAAGAAAAAAGACATAGGAGGATCCTTATCTGACTCAGTCTCTCCAGATGCTGGGGACCTCCTGGCAGGATTCAGAACTTTGGGAGCCGAGAGAGCCATCTGTCCTATGACAAAGCCATGGGGCCCAAAGCAGCAGCAATGCTGGATTAACCTTCTAGAGGGACCTTTAGGACGGTGGGCCAGAGAGGGTCTTCGAGGCTGTGTGGTGTGTTTGGTGCAATGGTAGCCAAGGGAGTGCCCTGGCTCTTTTTTCCTGCCCCAAAGCACTGCAGATTCCACCAGACTCCACCCTGCTCTGCCTCAGGCCCTCTGCCAAGGCAGCTTTGGAAAGGATTTAGGGTAGTCCTGAGGCTTCCCTTAATTCTGGCCCTAACTGCTGCTGTCCTAGGCCTCAAGACTTCCTGCTCTCTCCCTTCTTGTGGACAGTTGAAGGAGCTATCTCCTGCCTTAGCCCCTGGCAAAATAAATAAATAAATAATAAATTAAGAATCTGAGCACTCAAGATGTGCCAAGCATTGTACTGGATGTTTCCTGCATGTTATTTCATTTAATGAGGGTGCCACACAGACCCTGAAAGCCCCTCTAGATATGGGGACACCTTCAGTCCTGTCCCTACCCATCCTGCCACTCCGCTCAGGGGCTCCCGAGAGCCCACCCTTACCCGTAAGGACAGGGTGTCTTTGCACTGCAGGCTGATGCCGCACTCATCGGTGATCTCGGAGAGGTCTTCATCCTCAAACTCCTCCAGGCTGATGTCATGGGTGAGCCTGGTGGGGACAAGAAGCCAAAGTTACCACTCAGGGGATTGCTGCCAGCGGGCCGAGGCCCCCTGATGCCTCCCTAGTACCTCTTCCAAGGGGCAGCCCCTCGAAGGCAGATCACAACCCCCAGAGGATGGGACCTGGGGTCTACCTGTGCCAGTGCAAGGGGTACTGAACAGGCAGGGAAAGAGGTTTGGGCTCATGTCAAAAGGCAGGCCTCCTAGGGTGGCAGTGGAAGGGGAGGCTCCAGGTTACCCCAGCTCTTCCCAGCTGGGAGTTGTCCACCCTGCTGCCAATCAGGAGGCCATGCCTAGAAGGCCCAGCTGGTCAGAGCCTTGGCTCTGCCAGAGAAACGGCTCCCAGGGTCAAGGCAGGTGCCAAGGCCAGTTCACCCATGGAAGAGGCAGAGAGTTGAGAAGAGACTCCAAGGGATGACTGGAGGGGGGCTCCCTGTGCAGGGCAGTGACAAAACCCCCAAGGTGCTGGCGGAGGCCCCACCCCAGCCTCCGAGGAGAGCTCCAAGTCCCCAACCCAGGAAGTCCCACTCCAAGTCCCCAGCCCAGGAAGTCCCACTCCAAGTCCCCAGCCCAGGAAGTCCCACGCCTCGTAAGCCCTGGGAACAAGTGCAGGGGAGTCTGGTGTCAGTCTCGTTTCAGCCTCTTCTAGGAGAGACCATGCCCCTGTTCTGTGTTCTTGGTCTCATCAATTCGAACATAAAATCCTCTTGCCTGGCATGTGGGCCCCAACAGGAGGCCGCCCAGCTGGGGGCAGGGACAGCTGGAGGTGTCATGAGCGCAGGAAGCAGATCAAAGCACTTCAGCGAGGGAACGCTAACTGGCTGTGTTAGAACCCTCTCCCCCCAGGCCAAACCTGGGCCCCAAGCCCAGACTGCAGGACTGTGCCAGCCCCTGAGGTGCCTGCTGGTCCCCTCACCTGCTCAGCCCCAGCCCCGGGGTCCCTGCCCGGCTTGGTGTGGGTGGGACATTGAGAGAATTCGGAGTCTTTTCTTCAGTAAAACCAAGAGACGGAGGCATAGAGAATGGAGACCCACTAGTCCAAGGTCACCCAGGAGAGGTGGTGCGCTCAGCCCCAGGGGGATCCTAGGAGTCCACGCCCTCTGCTTCTCACCTCAACCAGACCAAACGGAGACCCGGAGCTCAATGGAGCCGCCCCGGTACTTCCCCTCCCCCACAGCAGTCCCCACACCCCTACCAGCTCTCCCACCGATCCTCCAACCAGCTGTCATTGTCTGGGCTGGAATCCATCTTCAGCACCAGCTGCATGGAGAGCCCAGCCCGGCTGGGGGGCTGCGGGGCCCCGGGGCCGCCCTCTCATGCCCAGAAGGGTGGAGGTGCCAGGGCTCCGGACAGGGCTGGGGCCTCGGGCCTCCACCGCCTGAGTCTGCCTTTCTGAGTCCAGCCCGCTGCAGAAGGCTGGGGAGCTCATCAAAAATAGATGGGCTGGGAGAAGAGGCAGCGGCTGCCGACCCGGCCCCGGTCCCAGCTCTTCCCAACCAGCCCTCGGCTGCGGGCAGCTTCCTCCCCTGGCCCTTCGCGCTGCCGCTGCCGTCAGCCTCCCCCCGCAGGATCAGGTTACTGCAATCGATGCCACGGCTCCACCTGCCCTTCCAATGCCCCAGTCGGGGGCTGGGGTGGCCCCCCTCCCTGGCCCAGGCTTGTAGGAAGACAGCAGAAATCTGGGATGTTTCCCCGCAAAAGCCAGCCCCTGATCTGCTTTAAAGGGCCAGCACCACAATTAGGGCTCCTGGTAGCAAGATGGAGGGGCTTCCAAAATCCTCCACAAATGGACGCCCCATCCGCACAGCTATTCGCTCACCCCCATACCTCATCAGAGAGGTTTCTGTGGGCCCAGGCAGCCTTCAGACAGTGCTGCCTGGGGTGGGTCTGGGCTGCCTCTATTGCCCACCTGGGTGCCCCTCCCCAGGGCTCCATCCTTCAGTATCCATCCAGGAAGTGCCTATGGGCATCGGAGGCGCCACAGCCAGGGCTAAGGCCAGATCATATGTGGATATCTCACAGCAGGGCAGGAAGGGCAGCTGGGGAGCTAATGAGCCTCCTGGCACTGCGGGGTGGGGGGTGGCGTAAGCAGAAGCTGGAAGGTCCCTGGAGAAACAGGGGTGGGGGAGGGAGCTGGATGGACATTGTGCTCTTTAAGGCCTCTCCTGACCTGGAGCCCGAGGGTGGTAGGTTCCCAGGGCTGGGGGAGGGTGTGGTGTGGAAGTAGGGGTAGGGTGGGGAGGACAGCCCAGCCCAGAAGCCAGAGCAGCCCTGCTCAGTCTGGCACAGGGCGGCATCTCTGGCCCTGGGATGAGAACCCAGTGGCAGGCACTAAGCAAATGGTTAATATACACACTGGCTGCCTGGCCAGTCACAGAGAAGTGACTCCTGGGACTCAGTCAGCACCAGGCAGCTGCAGGAACACTGGGTGTCTAACCCAGAGGTGCCCTCAGACGCCCCCTGCTCTGCCGGTGACCTCTGCACACATATGCATCTCCTCGTCCTCAATGCCCAGCCTGGTCTAGCTCCTGCCTCTGCAGTCCCAGACCTCCGCACTGGCCTGCCTGCCTCAGTTTCCCCATGCCAGCACCGTCCCACCCCACCTGCCACGATCAAGAGGAGCTGCCTGAAATGCCACCCTTTTGCCCCCCACTCAAAACCCTCCAAGATTCCCTGCTAGTGGCTGACTCCTTGGCCTGGCATTCAAGATCTGCAGCTCCGTGCGTGACTGCCTGCCTCTCGCACCCACCTCCCCAGTGTCTAACCCAGCGCTTGGATGGAGCACATGGCAGGCTCTCAACCTGTGCTTGTTGGTAGAAGGATCAGTTAAGCCTGCTCCTCCAGGAAGCCCTCCTGGCCCCCTGTGTCAGTGCCTTACAGCCCTCCGGGCAGCACTCACTGGTCCCCTGTCATGCCCCTTGCTTGTGATTGGCATCACCCTCTGCGTGGAGGTGAGGCAGTGTTGGGGAGCAGACAGGACGAGGCCTGCATCAGACGCCCTCCCTCCCCTCCCAGGAGGCTCCAAAGGTAGATGGAGCTCACACCCTGCCCCCACCCTGCACCCAGCCGGTGGTGAATAAAGGTCCCCTCCCTCCCAGTGAGGTCTGGAGGGCAGAGCTGGTGAGGTCCTCTTGCATACACCAGGCACCCAGTGCGCGTCTGCTAGATGTCCGTCAAGGACAACCTCAGCCCCCACGGGCTCCTCTCAAACCAAAGTGTTCAGGGCAGACCTGCAGGGTCTGGCTTGGACCTGGGCTGAGGCTTCTCAGCTCATCTCTACACACCTGATCTCAGCATCACCCGATATTCCCACTTCCTGGGACAGCAGGTCTGGGGGCAGGCAGGGACAGCTGTTATCAGATGAGGAATGAGGTTAACTGAGGGCAGTGGTGGAAAGGGCACTGGGCTGGGGCTCAAAAGCCTGCACTTGGGACTTCCCTGGTGGTCCAGCGGTTAGGACTCTGAGTTTCCACTGCAGGGGGCATGGGTTTGATCCCTGGTTGGGGAACTGAGATCCCACATGCAAGCGCGGCACAGCCAAAAAAAAAAAAAGAAGCCTGCACTTGATCCCTGACTGGTGGGGTGGGTTAAGGGAGCTCCTTAATCTTATTTTTTTCTCATAGGCCAGGCAAGATGGTAGAATGGCCGCCATATCAGGCTTAGAGGCAGGAGGCCTGAGATCAAATCCCGATTCCTTCGCTTATGAGAAGCAGCCGCCCCGTCTCCTGAGCAGCTGCTGTGCCCTGGCCACCAACCTTCTTTATGCTCTGCATCTCCCTTCATCCTCACTCCAGCCTTGGAAGAGGGTTTTTATTCTGTCCATTTTACAGATGAGGAGCACTAAGGCTCAGACTTAAGATGCCATAGGTCCACCGTTTCCCCATATATAAAATGAGCCCTCCCCATATCTGGGTGCTGGTAAATTTAACTGAGTGGAGAGTTTGTGAATTGCAAGGTGCTGTCAGGAGGTCACAACCAAGGATCAAGGGGCTTTACTGATTATGGAGTCCCCTTTGCAAGTCATACTCCCCCCACCTCCCATCCCGCAGCCCCAGGCCCAGCCCCAGCCCCAGCCCTAGCCCTGCCCTTTCCTCCTGCTTTTCCAGATACCAGGTGTTCTGGTCTCTCCGCCGAAGCCCTGGGATACCCTTCATGGAGGGAAAACTAAACAGACACTTTGCCCCTCCAAACTCAAGAAGGGCAACTATGGGGAGGAAGGAAAAGATGGAAGGGAAGAGGGGGGAGGGGAAGGAAGGAAGGAAGGAAGGAAGGAGGGAAGGGAGGGAGAAAGGAAGGAAGGAAGGAAGGAGGGAAGGGAGGGAGGAAGGAAGGAAGGAAGGAAGGAGGGAAGGGAGGGAGGAAGGAAGGAAGGAAGGAAGGAGGGAAGGAAGGAAGAAAGGAGGGAAGGAGGGAAGGAAGGAAGGAAGGAAGGAAGGAAGGAAGGAGGGAGGTTGGTTCCTTCCTGAAGCCACAGATCCACCTTCCCCATGGAGACCTGAGCCCTGAGCACCACAAGGCCACCTCTAGATCTGGAGACCCCAGCCCTTCGGAGGCAGCCGTTGCTGATCAGTCAGACCTGCTTGCCCATTCCGGTGAGATGGTTCCTGAGGTCTCATCCGCATTAGCATTTGGTGACTCGATGTCACGGGTTTGGTCTCTGGAGACCTCCCTGACCTTTGGCGTCTATCTTTATATTCCAGGCCCCCTCTTCCGCGTTAACCTCATGGCCTCCCGCTCCAGTGCCCCAGTCCCTTCCTCTGGCCGAGCTGGCCCCTCACTGCACTCTGAACATGCCATCCTCAGGCTCCCCTTCCCTGAGCCGAGCTCCCCTAAATGAACAGACAAGTCTCTGGTGTTCCGATGTTCATGTCATGGCCTTTTCCCTTGCCATGTGCTGTCACATCTCCCGTTCGCCTCGTTCCACCTACAGCAGCTCTTTCTAATCTGCTGTTTCAACCCAGTAGTGGGTGGAGTTAGGAGTGCCTGCGA